ACTCGGGAATTATCAATCCACAATTAAATGACGTTAGTGAAAGGGTAGAGAATATAAAGGTGTATTCAGGTCTGGGGGAGAAGTTGTCGGTGCTGGATATATTCAGGAATAGGCGGATACTCATAACATCTGTCATTGTGTGGATCATATGGTAAGAAAAACATATGACCATAGGCAAACGTAGCTCACATAAATTCACAGGAATATCATATATGATTTTTTTTGCGCGAGAACAAGACGAAAAACAAGTCATTATCAAATTTATATGAAAACTTCAAACCATTTGACCATTCCCGGTAGCCTAGTGGTAGAGCGTTCGCTTCGTAATCGGGAGGCCTGGGTTCGATTATCGTTTTCGGCGCCACGTCAAACCTAGGACGTAAAAATAGGTAGTGACTGTTCCTTCGCCAAGAGATTGGTCTTTCGGATATGACCTTAAAAACGTAGGTCCCGTGTCAAGGTAGGCGCTGGCACGATAAAGAACCCTAACTGCTAAATTGCTCTAAGTGCCGAGTATAGATCTAAATTTGAAGCCCTTCACCGGCATACGGTGACGTCTCCATATGAGTAAAAAATTCTCGAGAGGGACGTTAAACAATATACAATCAATCAATCAGACCATTTCGACTCAACTTTCATACGCAGCACAGTTAAGGTTACAAAAAGGATGCGGAGCCTAATTTATACGGGAAAACCTGACTATGACATCACTCACAATATACGTCATATAACATTTCTTTAAAATACCACAAAATGAAATGATCTGCTAATTTAACCAGTAATAAATCATTACAGCGTGTTGTTTTGTCGTTAGTTAAATCCCACATAACAAGTTATAAACAAGTCTCTGATCGCAATACACTTGTCAATATGACGTCATTTCTTAAAATGTGACGTAGTTTGTTTGCAGTGAGATCGAGACAGATCAAATAATATTTTTCAACAAAATATGTATTTTCTAATTAAATAAAATATTATTTACAGATATTCTATGGGCAAATAACTTGATTTTAATGTCTTCTTCACTATTTTAGCAATATATTTTCTGTACATTACGTATTTAATTGACACTGCCGTATACTTGTATGCAAGTAAATCGGAGGGTAATGTGGGGGGTCTTCATAAATCGATCTAGTGCAAGGGCATACACTATATGGATCAAAGTAATCTTTTACATTTCAACTATATAACTATTAAGGTTTCTGAAAAGTGCTGCGATCCTGATGAAATCTTAAAAACAATTTAATTATATCAATATTTCATGCCGCTGACCAGCAAAAATATAGCATTCGGTCATACAAGTATAATTTTAACAATAAAATTGCAAAATTTAGACAGGATCGCAGCACTTTTTAGAAACTACAATGCGTGTTGAAAATATTTATATACAAAACTTGGAAATTTATCTTGATTATGCCCTTGCACTAGTGATATTTATATGTAACATCAATACTTCAAGTAAATGTGCTAAAATCGCGTGACTGCCGCATCACGTGACTAGTCTAAATATAAAATATAATCATCCTCGATATGTAGTTATTAATCATAATTACAATCATCCGATTTAAATAATGTACTAAAAATAATCGCCATCCCGATTAGGAATACATTTTAAATACAAAATTTAGTCGATATTTCCATTGCTCACCTTAACTGTATTGCGTAGGAATTTTACATAAAGAGCATATCGCATAAATATGATACCAAAAGAAAAATGCATAAAAGTTCTAAAAAAAAAATTGAATATCATACAAAATTTTTTCAGGATATTTGCATGAAAAAAAAATTGTATAATTTTTATATGGCTTTTACATAATTTTCGAATAAAATGATAATTACATGAATATTATGTAAGCCAACTTTCCCTGTGAAACATTTATCATGAATTTTCTCCTTTATTAACCCCAGGTTTGTGAACAGTATCACCTATTATGGCCTCTTTCTGACTTCCGGGATAATGGCTGGAGACATGTATCTAAACTTCTTCTTGAATGGATTGGTCGAAGTACCCAGCGTGTTTCTGTACATGTTTACCATAAACAGGTATCGGGATAATGAGCCAATAAAAATACTTGTACTTTAAAATAAAGTTTTAGGGTCGATAAAAAATTCCCCAGTATATTCCTATTCACCTTCAGAAGCTATTTGGACAAATGTTTTTTTGAAATATAAAATGAAACACAAGTATTGTAAATATCCTGAAATTGTTGAGCTAATTTAAAAACCTTTAAAGTCTAGGTAAGGGCTAAAAAAATGCATAAATATTCCACTTAAGTAAAGAATGAAATCTTCTGAAAAAAAACAGTATCAAAATGAGCCTATTGTTTTTCTTTTGTCCAGTTAAAGGGAAATCATTCCATTTAAAGCATTGATTTTTACAGAGATGTTTTGTTGTAAATATTAAATAAGGTAAAATCATTTTTAAATTTAATTATTTCAGCAATGCTTATTTGCATGATTATAAAGTTTCTATGTCTGTATAGATATGGTAGAAAGAATACCTGTATCATATTCCACGCTATAGCTGGGGTGTGTTTAACAGTTTCTATATCTGTATAGATATGGTAGAAAGAAAACATGTATAATGTTTCATGCTATAGCTGGAGTGTGTTTGTCAGTGTCAGCAGTCCTCATGTACCTAAAAGGTATGTTTTTTAATCCATATTAGCTTACATCCATAAAAGGGCAGTGAATATACAATTTCATTTTGATCTAATGCTTTTTGCTGAAATTTTATAGCTTTATAAAAATTGATATCTTGTGCAGAAATAATTTGCATACCCCCTTTTGCCTGAAAAGTGCAACACCTGAAACTGTTGAAGCAAAAACAGTTGAATTGTTAATTATCTAGCATACACCTCTTCAAACTGTACTTAATGCTTCTAGAATCATGTTGTAAGGCATAATTGAAATTTACTATGGAGAGAAAAAAAAATAAATTCAAGTTTAGTTTGTATATTTAATGATTTAAAGCATTTAATAAAAATATTTGCTCCTGACGTTCAGATTCATCAGTAATGGAAGGATTCGCCACTGCCTTCAGTTTTGTGGGAAAGTTTGGTATATCTGGATCCTGGATGACGATATTCCTGTATACAGAGGAAGTGTACCCCACTAATCTAAGGTAAAGTTACAGAGGAAGTGAAGTTACTGTACCCCACTAATCTAAGGTAAAATTAGAGAGGTAGTGTACCCCACTAATCTAAGGTAATGTTACAGAGGTAGTACACCCCACTAATCTAAGGTAACGTTACAGAGGAAGTGTAGTTAGTGTACCCCACTAATCTAAGGTAACGTTACAGAGGTAGTGTACCCCACTTATCTAAGGTAACCTTACAGAGGAGGTGTACCCCACTTATCTAAGGTAACCTTACAGAGGAGGTGTACCCCACAAATCTAAGGTTAAATTACAGATGTAGTGTACCCCACTTATCTAAGGTGAAGTTACATAGGAAGTGAAGTTACTGTACCCCACTAATCTAAGGTAATGTTACAGGGGAAGTGTACCCCACTAATCTAAGGTAACGTTACAAAGGAAGTATATCCCAATAATCTAGGGTAACGTTACAGAGGAAGTGTACCCCACTAATCCAAGGTAACGTTACAGAGGAAGTATACCTTACTAATCTAAGGTAACGTTACTGAGGAAGTATTACCCACTAATATAGGGTAACGTTACAGAGGAGGTGTACCCAACTAATCTAAGGTAACGTTACAGAGGAAGTATATCCCACTAATCTAAAGTAACGTTACAGAGGAGGTGTAAGCCACTAATCTAAGGTAACCTTACAGAGGAAGTGTATCCCACTAATATAGGGTAACGTTACAGAGGAAGTGTATCCCACTAATATACGGTAACGTTACAGAGGAAGTATTACCCACTAATCTAAGGAAACATTACAGAGGAGGTATACCCACTAATCTAAGGAAACGTTACAGAGGAAGTATACCCCACTAATCTAAGGTAACGTTACAGAGGAAGTGTACCCCACTAATCTAAGGTAACGTTACAGAGGAAGTGTACCCCACTAATCTAAGGTAACGTTACAGAGGAAGTATACCCCACTAATCTAAGGTAACGTTACAGAGGAAGTGTACCCCACTAATCTAAGGTAACGTTACAGAGGAAGTATACCCCACTAATCTAAGGAAACGTTACAGAGAAACTGTACCCCACTAATCTAAGGTAACGTTACAGAGGAAGTATATCCCACTAATATAAGGGAACGCTTCAGAGGAAGTGTACCCCACTAATCTAAGGTAACGTTACAGAGGAGGTGTACCCCACTAATCTAAGGTAACGTTACAGAGGAAGTGTACCCCACTAATCTAAGGTAACGTTACAGAGGAAGTATACCCCCTAATCTAAGGTAACCGTACAGAGGAAGTATTACCCACTAATATACGGTAACGTTACAGAGGAGGTGTACCCCACTGATCTAAGGTAACGTTACAGAGGAAGTACACCCCACTAATCTAAGGTAACGTTACAGAGGAAGTATACCCCACTAATCTAAGGAAACTCTACAGAGGAAGTATACCCCACTTATCTAAGGTAACGTTACAGAGGAAGTATACCCCACTAAACTAAGGTAACGTTACAGATGAAGTGTACCCCACTAATCTTAGGAAACGCTACAGAGGAAGTATACCCCATTAATCTAAGGTAACGTTACAGAGGAAGTATACCCCACTAATCTAAGGTAACGTTACAGAGGAAGTGTACCCTACTAATCTAAGGTAAAGTTACAGAGGAGGTGTACCCCACAAATCTAAGGTAAGCATTATAAGAAAACTGGTGTCGGTTTCATTGATTTGAATGATTATTGTACATTTACGCCACAATTGCAGCCATATTTCAGAGGTGTGAATTTAAAAATGTATGAACAGTTTTGAAAGTTTTTTGGTTAAGTTTCTCTGATGGCCCTAAATGAAACTTTTTGAAAACCAGCATGCCAGTCCCTTGATTCTTGACATGGGAAACCGTTTTCGACATACTTGGAATTTGAAAATAAAATCAGTTAACTTGATAATTAAAAAAAAATGCTAATAAAAATGTCCTATTTAAACTTATTTGCAGAAATTAGTTTCTTGCAAGTATTGTCAAATTACAATAGGATTTAAACTTGTAAAAAGATCATTTATTGTCGTAATTCACACCATTAAAAAAAGTTTATTTCGAACAGGTTTAAACTCAAAACATTCTAGAAGTATATTGATTGTATTTATAAACCAGTCGCAAGATTTGCATTTAGGTTAATATTCCCCGCTCAGTAAATATGAATGGATAATCCTTGTATGTCCAAATCTCATTCTTTAAATAATGAATTCGTCCTGGCCTTTCAGGCCGAAGTCAGATGATAAACTTTGTTCTGTATGGTATACAGTTAATTATT